ATGGGGCAGAGGGGCATGTTGTAGAGGGGCATGGGGGAGAGGGGCATGGGGCAGAGGGGCATGGGGCAGAGGGGCATGTTGTAGAGGGGCATGGGGTAGCCGGGCATGGGGTAGAGGTGCATGGGGTAGAGGTGCATGGGGTAGAGGGGCATCGGGTACAGGGGCATCGGGTAGAGGGGGATGGGGCAGAGGGGCATGGGGCAAAGGGGCATGGGGAAGAGGGGCATGGGGCAGAGGGGCATGAGGCAGAGGGGCATGGGGTAAAGATGCCTGGGGTGGAGGGGCATGGGGCAGAGGGTCATTGGGCTGAGCGCCATGGGGCAGAGGGGCATGGGGCAGAGGGGCATGTTGTAGAGGGGCATGGGGTAGTGGGGCATGGGGTAGAGGGGCATCAGGTAGAGGGGCATGGGGTAGAGGGGCATGGGGTAGAGGGGCATGGGGCAGAGGGGCATGGGGCAGAGGGGCATGGGGCAGTGGGGCATGGGGCATAGGGGCATGGGGCAGAGGGGCATGGGGCAAAGGGGCATGGGGCAGAGGGGCATGGGGCAGAGGGGCATGAGGCAGAGGGGCATGAGGCAGAGGGGCATGGGGCAGAGGGGCTTGGGGTAGAGGGGCATGGGGCAGAGGGGCATGGGGCAGAGGGGCATGGGGCAGAGGGGCATGGGGCAGAGGGGCATGGGGCAGAGGGGCATGGGGAAGAGGGGCATGGGGCAGAGGGGCATGGGGCAAAGGGGCATGGGGCAGTGGGGCATGGGGCAGAGGGACATGGGGCAGAGGGGCATAAGGCAGAGGGGCATGGGGCAGAGGGGCTTGGGGTAGAGGGGCATGGGGCAGAGGGGCATGGGGTAGAGGGGCATGGGGCAGAGGGGCATGGGGCAGAGGGGCATGGGGCAGAGGGGCATGGGGCAGAGGGGCATGGGGCGGAGGGGCATGGGGCAGAGGGCATGGGGTAGAGGGGCATGGGGCAGAGGGGCATGGGGTAGAGGGGCATTGGGTAGAGGGGGATGGGGCAGAGGGGCATGGGGCAGAGGGGCATGGGGCAGAGGGGCATGGGGCAGAGGGGCATGGGGCAGAGGGGCATGGGGCAGAGGGGCATGGGGCAGAGGGGCATGGGGCAGAGGGGCATTGGGAAGAGGGGGATGGGGCAGAGGGGCATGGGGCAGAGGGGCATGGGGCAGAGGGGCATGGGGCAGAGGGGCATGGGGCAGAGGGGCATGGGACAGAGGGGCATGGGGCAGAGGGGCATTGGGAAGAGGGGGATGGGGCAGAGGGGCATGGGGCAGAGGGGCATGGGGCAGAGGGGCATGGGGCAGAGGGGCATGGGTTAGAGGGGCATGGGGCAAAGGGGCATGGGGCAGAGGGGCATGGGGCAGAGGGGCATGGGGCAGAGGTGCATGGGGAAGAGCGGCATTGGGAAGAGGGGGATGGGGCAGAGGGGCATGGGGCAGAGGGGCATGGGGCAGAGGGGCATGGGGCAGAGGGGCATGGGGTAGAGGGGCATGGGGCAGAGGGGCATGGGGCAGAGGGGCATTGGGTAGAGGGGGATGGGGCAGAGGGGCATGGGGCAGAGGGGCATGGGGCAGAGGGGCATGGGGCAGAGGGGCATGGGGCAGAGGGGCATGGGGCAGAGGGCATGGGGCAGAGGGGCATGAGGCAGAGGGGCATTGGGAAGAGGGGGATGGAGCAGAGGGGCATGGGGCAGAGGGGCATGGGGCAGAGGGGCATGGGGCAGAGGGGCATGGGGCAGAGGGCATGGGGCAGAGGGGCATGGGGTAGAGGGGCATGGGGCAAAGGGGCATGGGGCAGAGGGGCATGGGGCAGAGGGGCATGGGGCAGAGGTGCATGGGGAAGAGCGGCATTGGGAAGAGGGGGATGGGGCAGAGGGGGCATGGGGCAGAGGGGCATGGGGCAGAGGGGCATGGGGCAGAGGGGCATGGGGTAGAGGGGCATGGGGCAGAGGGGCATGGGGCAGAGGGGCATTGGGTAGAGGGGGATGGGGCAGAGGGGCATGGGGCAGAGGGGCATGGGGCAGAGGGGCATGGGGCAGAGGGGCATGGGGCAGAGGGGCATGGGGCAGAGGGGCATGGGGCAGAGGGGCATGGGGCAGAGGGGCATGTTGTATAGGGGCATGGGGTAGAGGGGCATGGGGCAGAGGGGCATGGGGAAGAGGGGCATGTTGTAGACGGGCATGGGGTAGCCGGGCATGGGGTAGAGGTGCATGGGGTCGAGGTGCATGGGGTAGAAGGGCATCCGGTTGAGGGGCATCGGGTAGAGGGGCATGCGGCAGAGGGGCATGGGGTAGAGGGGCATGGGGGTAGAGGGGCATGGGGCAGAGGGGCATGGGGTAGAGGGGCACGGGGTAGAGCGACATTGGGTAGAGGGATTTGGGGCAAAGGGGCATGGGGTAGATAGGCCTGGGGCAAAGGGGCATGGGGCAGAGGGGCATGTTGTAGAGGGGCATGGGGCAGTCCGGCATGGGGCAGAGGGGCATGGGGCAGAGGGGCATGGGGCAGAGCGGCATGTGGCAGAGGGGCATGGAGCAGAGGGGCATTTTTTAGAGGGGCATGGGGTAGAGGGACATGGGGCAGAGGGGCATGGGGCAGAGGGGCATGGGGCAGAGGGGCATGTTGTAGAGGGGCATTGGGTAGAGGGGCATGGGGCAGAGAGGCATGGGGCAGAGGGGCATTGGGCAGAGCGCCATGGGGCAGAGGGGCATGGGGCAGAGGGGCATGTTTGAAGAGGGGCATGGGGTAGAGGGGCATGGGGTAGAGGGGCATGGGGCAGAGGGGCAAGGGGCAGAGGGGCATGTTGTAGAGGGGCATGGGGTAGAGGGGCATGGGGCAGAGAGGCATGGGGCAGAGGGGCATGGGGCAGAGCGCCATGGGGCAGAGGGGCATGGGGCAGAGGGGCATGTTGTAGAGGGGCATGGGGTAGAGGGGCATGGGGTAGAGGGGCATGGGGTAGAGGGCCATGGGGCATAGGGCCATGGGGCAGAGGGGCATGGGACAGGGGCATGGGGCAGAGGGGCATGGGGTAGAGGGGCATGGGGTAGAGGGGCATGGGGTAGAGGGCATGGGGCATAGGGGCATGGGGCAGAGGGGCATGGGACAGAGGGGCATGGGGCAGAGGGGCATGGGGCAGAGGGGCATGAGGCAGAGGGGGATGGGACAGAGGGGCATGGGGCAGAGGGGCATGGGGTAGAGGGGCATGGGGCAGAGGGGCATGGGGCAGAGAGGCATGGGGCAGAGGGGCATTGGGCAGAGCGCCATGGGGCAGAGGGGCATGTTGTAGAGGGGCATGGGGGAGAGGGGCATGGGGCAGAGGGGCATGGGGCAGAGGGGCATGTTGTAGAGGGGCATGGGGGTAGCCGGGCATGGGGTAGAGGTGCATGGGGTAGAGGTGCATGGGGTAGAGGTGCATCGGGTACAAGGGCATTGGGTAGAGGGGGATGGGGCAGAGGGGCATGGGGCAGAGGGGCATGGGGTAAAGGTGCCTCGGGTGGAGGGGCATGGGGCAGAGAGGCATGGGGCAGAGGGGCATGGGGCAGAGGGGCATGTTGTAGAGGGGCATGGGGTAGAGGGGCATGGGGTAGAGGGGCATGGGGCAGAGGGGCATGGGGCAGAGGGGCATGGGGCAGAGGGGCATGTTGTAGAGGGGCATGGGGTAGAGGGGCACGGGGTTGAGGGGCATGAGGTAGAGCGACATTGGGTAGAGGGGCATGGTGCAGAGGGGCATGGGGTAGAGGGGCATGGGGCAAAGGGGCATGGGCCAGTGGGTCATGGGGAAGAGGGCATGGGGTAGAGGGGCATGGGGCATAGGGGCATGGGGCAGAGGGGCATGGGACAGAGGGGCATGGGGCAGAGGGGCATGTTGTAGAGGGGCATGGGGTAGAGGGGCATGGGGTAGAGGGGCATGGGGTAGAGGGGCATGGGTAGTGGGGCATGGGTAGAGGGGCATGGGGCAGAGGGGCATTGGGCAGAGGGGCATGTTGTAGAGGGGCATGGGGTAGAGGGGCATGGGGCAGAGAGGCATGGGGCAGAGGGGCATGGGGCAGAGCGCCATGGGGCAGAGGGGCATGGGGCAGAGGGGCATGTTGTAGAGGGGCATGGGGTAGAGGGGCATGGGGTAGAGGGGCATGGGATAGAGGGGCATGGGGCAGAGGGGCATGGGGCAGAGGGGCATGGGGCAGAGGGGCATGTTGTAGAGGGGCATGGGGTAGAGGGGCACGGGGTTGAGGGGCATGAGGTAGAGCGACATTGGGTAGAGGGGCATGGTGCAGAGGGGCATGGGGTGGAGGGGCATGGGGCAAAGGGGCATGGGGCAGAGGGTCATGGGGAAGAGGGGCATGGGGCAGAGGGGCATGGGGTAGAGGGGCATGGGGTAGAGGGGCATGGGGCATAGGGGCATGGGGCAGAGGGGCATGGGACAGAGGGGCATGGGGCAGAGGGGCATGTTGTAGAGGGGCATGGGGTAGAGGGGCATGGGGTAGAGGGGCATGGGGTAGAGGGGCATGGGGTAGAGGGGTATGAGTAGGAGGTTCGGCATCTGATGTGTGGCTCACAGTAGCATCTGCACCCGGCATCCCTTGCTGCCATTCCATGCATCTCATGCATTCCATGCATGCACCTCATGCATCTACTGCACCTCATGCATCTGATGCACGTCATGCATGCACCTCATGCAGCTAATGCACCTTTTGCATCTCATGCACCTTCCAGCGGTTAGTCTCTTGGACTCCTGAGCATGCGGGTCACGTGCTGAACACTGCAAGCACTCCGCAACACCCTTATTCCCACATCTACCCCCCTGGCCTCCTCCCCTGCGCGCACTCCCCTGCAAGCATGCTCTTCACGCTGCCCTTCCCCTGCTCCCCATGAGCAGCCCATGTTGAACATAAGCACATTCTCCCTTTATTGTGCGTCCCACCTCGCCTTCTCCTCACGCGCATGCCTCCATCACCGTCCTCGCCTCCCCCCCCCCCCCCCCCCTCCGCTCCGCAGGCACAATCTGATCACAGGTGCGGCGTGGCCGGGGCATCCGGAGTTCCTGGGGCTGCTGCTGCTGGCGCTGGGCGCCAAGGTGCAGGGCAGCGACAAGCGCGTTCTGGTGCTCTGCGGGGTGAGCTGAGAGACCTCACTCGCTGCCTCTTTCCTGCCTCCTGCTCTGCTGCTGGCGCAGCATGCAAGCGAGGGTGGTTCGCTGTGTGGTTGACTGGCAGCGTTGAGCTCTTGCGCCCAGTTGTCCTGTTTCGTGCTCACTCTTCGCTACACCCCCCGTGCCCTCTCGTTTTCCCCCAACCTCCCCTCCTCCCCATCCCTCCCTGGCTTGTTGGTTGGAGGGCTGTGATACCTGTGCACGCAGTGGGCTGTATCATCCATGCCTCCCCCACCTCCCCCTCCCCCTTCCCCTCTCCCCCCCCCGCTTCCCCTCCCCCTCACCCTCCCCCCACCCCCCCCAGGACTTCATGGAGGACTACGAGGTGATGGTGCCGGTTCAGGCGCTGCAGGCGCTGGGGTACCGCGTGGACGCCGTTTGCCCAGGGAGGAAGACAGGGGATGTGTGCAGGACGGCCGTGCACGACTTTGAGGGCGACCAGGTGGGCGCTGCAGCCGCGTGGGGATTGTGGTTGTGGTGAATTCTGATGCAGTGAGTGTGGACGCCTGCACATCCCTTTCTCTGGTCTGGACAAGTCATTCCAACAGCTGTTCCTCTCGCTCTAACCCCCTTGATCCGTGTCAACCCCATCATCGCATGCGCCGAGGAGCCTGGCCATATCATTGCCGTCAGAGCGGCGTGAGTCGCTGTGACTGCAGGCGACTGTGGCCCCTGCTGGCGCTCACGTGCTCCTCATGCGACACCGCCCTCCTTCCTACTTTCACCGTCTCGAATCACATTTTCCTCTCGTTGCAATGATACATGGAGCAGCCTCGCCAAGATCCGTCCATGGCGCTCGTACCAACCAGCACATGCTGCCCTCTCTCACTGCCTATCTGTCCATCATGCTCCCTCTCACCACCTCTCTTCCCCCAGACCTACACTGAGAAGCCCGGCCACAACTTCGCCCTGACGGCGGACTTTGACGTGGTGAATGTGGTTGATTACGACGCCCTCGTAGTGCCGGGTGGGCGCGCACCCGAGTACCTGGCGCTGAATGCGCGCGTGCTTGACATAGTGCGGCAGTTCGATGCAAGCAGCAAGCCCATCGCCTCCATCTGCCACGGCCAACAGATCCTAGCTGCGGCTGGCGTGCTCAAGGTGGGTTTGTGTCCTCAAGGTGGGTTCGTGTGCTCAAGGTCCGTCCGTGTGCTCAATGTGGGTCCGTGTGCTCAAGGTAGACGTGGGCAGAAGCCAAGCCACACCCGGCTCGGCTCGGCTCGGCTCGCCAAAAAGGCGAGCCGAGCCTTCTTTTCTTGTACCCGGCTCGGCTCCTCACCGTTTTTCACGGCGAGTTGGGGCGAGCCGGCTTGCCCCTGGCTCGATTTCGAGCCAAGTGGCTCGCGCCTCGGGATTTGGGGGGATTGGCGTGGGTACAGTTTGTAGATTGACGGAACACTCTCCTCACAAACTAGTACCACGCCATCCCCACCCCAATCCCACTAACCCTAGCTAGCAACTTCATCGTTCGTACGTTGCGCGCGCCTTAGCTATTTTGAAAGCACCAACTCGATTGCTTGGCGAACTCGATTTATGCAGTGCACCTAGTCAAAGCTGGCAAACAGGGGTCCCCAAAAACCACTTATCCCTAAAAACCATCAAGGCGAGCTGAGCCGAGCCGGCTCGCCAACATGGGGACGAGCTGAACCGGGCATCTTGGGCTCAATGGCGAGCCGGCTCGACTCGACCCAAAACGAGCCGAGCCGAGCCAGGCTCGGCTCATGCCCACGTCTAGCTCAAGGTGGGTTCGTGTGCTCAAGGTGGGTTCGTGTGCTCAAGGTGGGCCCGTGTGCTCAAGGTGGGCCCGTGTGCTCAAGGTGGGCCCGTGTGCTCAAGGTGGGCCCGTGTGCTCATGGTGGGCCCGTGTGCTCAAGGTGGGCCCGTGTGCTCATAGTGTGTGATACAATAGGAAACCTGCAGAGGTGCAGGGCGTACCTGCAGTGAAGCCAGCATAGGTGCAGGGCGCACCTGCAGTGAAGCCGGCATAGGTGCAGGGCGCACCTGCTGTGAAGCCAGCATAGGTGCAGGGCGCACCTGCAGTGAAGCCAGCATAGGTGCAGGGCGCACCTGCAGTGAAGCCAGCATAGGTGCAGGGCGCACCTGCAGTGAAGCCAGCAGAAGTGCAGGACGCACCTGCAGTGAAGCCAGCAAAGTGCTGGCAATCTCCCTCTCAAATGCTTGTCTCTCACCCATCACCTCCTCGTGTGTGTGGCAGGGCAAGAGGTGCACGGCATACCCGGCGGTGAAGCCAACGGTGGTGCTGGCGGGCGGCGAGTGGCAGGAGCCAGACCCAATCTCGCGCTGCTTCAGGGACGGCCACCTCATCACGGGCGCTGCGTGGCCCGCACACCCCGAGTTCATCAGCTTGCTCATGGAGGCGCTGGGCACCACGGTCACAGCATGACTTGCGTGTGCTCACTAACATGCTCTGCTCTTCATATACTGTATTCCCCCGGATATACGTGCCTGGGTGCGTTTAGGGATTATCGTCTTAAAATGGGGGGTGCGTTTTTTTCTCTCGAATTTTTGTGATACGGCACAGTGCGTTATGGTTTTAGAAAAAAAATACGGTGAAAGGGCAAGAAAATGTAGCTCGAACAATTTCATTTCAGTTGAATGTTCACCCAAACAGAAACCCCCTTTAAATCCCTCGAGAATCGCTTGAAACTTTATGGACTCGCCAATCAGGAAAGTGCGCTGCAATTTGCCAGCGAGCAGGCAAGAAGGGTCGATCCTGGCTATCTGATAGTCTTACAATATATCGCACGGCAGCAGAGCAACGCTGACCTGACCAGTTCTCGCATGAGGAGGTGACGAGAGGATAGATTCCGTGTGATGATACCGTAATCCCCCGTATCAGGCCCCACGTTTGGTTTTAAGGTACTTTGATTGCTCAGTGTCTTGAGAAAAAAACTTTCCATCAGTGTGGACTAGAAAAAAAAAAAAGCTTGTTCATCAGCGTTCGATTTCGAATGTTCGCTTTCTCATCATGGTTGACAGTTAATTTTACACTGATTTTCTATCCTCAAAAAAATATTTCACATCATTTAAGTTCAGCTACTCTAGTTTAACTACAATATCTACGAATTCACCAAAAGCTAAAATAGGGCAATGCCGACGTAGTCATGCGCCATACTAACATGCTACACAGAAACTTTACAGCAGGTTCTCAGCTACACATCCATTTCACTAGTTCACTACCCAGAATCGTCGTCATCGTCTAAACGGTCGGCTACCTCATTCCCCACGAGCTCATCTTCCTCATCGTCATCGACCTCAACCTCCTCCAGTTCCTCTGCCACTTCCTTCCCCTTCCTGCTCGTCGGACGCTTCTTCGGCCGGGCTGTCAGTGAGAAAGGTCGCCGCTTCTAATAACTCCTCCAAATAGAGACCACCTCTTCCCAATCCGGCTCATAATCCAGCAGCGACATGGCCATGAGATCCGACAGCCGCGCGTCTTTGATAGCCCCGCGCTGCCAGCTCTTGATAACATTCTGCCGGGAGAACCAGCGCTCACACTCCACAGTGGATAGCGACAGGACAGCAACCGCTACCCACAACTTCACAAGGTTCGGGTAGGCATCCTTCCAGTCAGGCGTTTTGAGCATCGCAGTAAGGCCTGCATGGAAACTTTTCTCACACCTCGGGGCAGCAGCTCGAACAGGACAGAAGTTGCGCAGCTCCTTGACGGCCCTACGCTTGTCGATACCTGCCCATATTCAACAAGGACATAGCTATTAAAATGATAGCAAGTACATAGTAGACTCAAACATGCGGCAGTGATAACAACATACCGGGCAAGATCTCTTCCGAATGCTGCGCCCGAAACAAAGCCACCAGAGACATGAGATGTTCGAGGCAGAGGGCGTTCCGCTCCTGGCGAGCTAACGGCCAGTCAAGCGAGATGAAGAGGCGCACTGCGGACAACGAGTCGAGGTCGCCCAGTCGATCCAGCAGGTTTCCCACGATCGATTCCGCCATAGCCGTGCAGAGGTCCACACTTGCGTTGTGGGTGAAAGGACCATTGTAGCCTTCAATCGCATCGTCGTGCAGAAGGTACGTGTGCGTTGTAGGGCGGCCATCAGCATCCACCCCTTGAACAGTCACCTGCCGTGATCCCCCTTCCCCATGGAGCCGTAGGAATGCAGATAGGCGATCACTGAGCCCGCCACCGAAATCGTCGCCGCAGTCGACGTAGCGAGACTCGATGAAGCTGGTGGTGCGGGCAATTTGTGACTGGACGGCGACGAGATCGAGCTGCACATAATAAGAATCAGGAATATTAGAATCCGATACGTGTAAACACTCTGAAAAGTATGCAGCAATCAACACCATGTCATCTTAGAATACGTGTAAACACACTCCGAAAAGGATGCAGCAATCAGCACCATCTCACCTCTCGCTGCTGGAACGTCTTGTTCAAGACGTTCAGCTGCTCAAGCATGTCAGCGAGGAAAAAAAGCAAGAACTGGAACATGAAGCTTGTTGCAATCTTGTACATCCTGGCATCACCCAGTTCATGAAGCATGACAATCACACCAGGCAGCACCGCCACCAACCTCAGGACGGCCTCATCGCGAGATAGCCAGCGGACATTAAAGATGCCCTGCAGCTCGAGACTTGTCTGACAAAACAGCTCCTGCAGATCTAGAAAGCGCTGGTGCCAAGGTCCCGAGCGTCCAAGGAACTCTGCCAACCACCGGATGAAGGCATCTATCATCCCAAACTGTAGCAACGAGTCTGCGGCATCCTTCGCAGCCAACGCCTCCCTGAAATTAACGTACACGAAATAGTCAGCTTCTTTCTAGGCAAAAACAGACACTGGAAGCAAATCAACAAAGACATGTACCTGTGTGCAATGCAATGGCAAGAAACGAGGTGAGGAATGCGCGTGCGAAGCCTTGCCACAAGCCCATTGCATACGCCCGTCATCACGGCCGCCCCGTCTGTGCTGATGCCAGTCAGGCGGGAGAGGTCGATGCCGACAGCTCCAAGGTGTGAGAGGAGCAGGCCAAGAAGACGCCGCATCCGCTCGGTCTACAGTCAGTAGTGCGAAAAACTCTGTGACGACCGTGTTGTTCTTGACGAATGTAGCGTAGACGATGAGATGTTTCCCACGGCAGCGATCGGTTGACTCGTTGCAACTTAGACCCACATAGGGACTAGCTCGAATGTGGTCAAGTTGGGTTGTCTGCAACCAAGTTGCGGTTGCTTGTATGAATTCCCCAAAGCCATATCTGCATAAATTATGTGGAAAGGACACAATTGTAAAAAGTGTACTGTACGCACTGGTAAACAACATCAATAAACATTATGATGTTCAGTTAGAATAGACCCAACACTTACGCGGTATAGTAGCTCCCGTGTCCCTTCTTCGGAAATCCCTTCACCCCCTTCTCCGCGAGGTACTTCACTAGCCGAACCCACGCTTCAATTGGCTCGTTGCTCTTGCAGTTGAAGAGGAGAGCGTCGAGGAGTGCGATGGCTTGATCCTTCTCTATGTCAGTTGCCGCTGGGTGCTTGTCGATGCGAGGTTGTCGGGTGGCAGCTTGCAGGAGGTCGTTTTGCCGCAGCATCGCCAACTTGTGCTTGTTGGTGGCGGCATGCCACTTGAATGCCTGGTTCTGCACATCAGTAGCACCCTTTCCCTTACGACCACACTTCCCGGTATCTCCGGCATGCTCTGAGCACACAGTACACTTGAAAGCAGGAAACCCCCCGGGTGTTTTGGTTAGAACGAGCCAAGGGTAACGTTCCTGCCAATGCGTCTTGTACTTGTCAAGAGCATCAGAGTACAACAACTCAATGACATTGAAGCTAGGTTCAGAGGAAGTAGTATCGGCGGTGGAGTTGGGATTGGCGGCTGATGTTGTCGCAGGACAAGCAGTGGAGAGGAACGGGAGCTTTTCTTGATGGTAGCGAGATGCCCGAACTGCCGCGCCTGCACTCGACTCAGGAAGATCTTCCATGCCATGCATGCGACGTCCACCATCTCCTTCAGTGGCTGTGGAATCACTCCCTGCGAAGTGTCAATAACGTTATTAGTAAACAGTTCCTTTTAAGCGATGGGAACAACTGAATCAGAAGTCTCACCAGTAGAACATTGAGGTCGTGCTCGAAAGGCCACAAGCAGCACTACTCTCGATTACAACGTTGGCAGGGGTCAGGGTTCCTGCCAGTTGCCAACATAGTTATTAGTAAACAGCTTTTTGTAAAGCCATGGATACAACAGAATTTAAAACCACGGCTCACCAATGAACAAACCAGCAAGTCCTGCTCGACGAACACCAGCAGCCTTGCTCTCGAGTACAGCGGAGGCAGGGGTTGGGATTCCTGCCACATATCATTAGGTTTATTAGTAAAAAGGTTACGTCTAAAGGATTCAATAGAACCAGAAGCCAAAAACACTACTCACCGGTAGCATAGTCAGATTTTGATTGACAGGCACCAGCAGTGCTATTCTTGGGTACAGCGGGGGCCGAGGTAGGGGTTCCTGCCATACGAGGACAAGGTTATTAATTAAGACTTGCTTCTGATTGACTGGATACAATAGAAGCAGAAACAGGACTCACCAGAAACAAAGTCAGGCCCTGCACGGCGAGCTTTAGCCGTGCTAATGTCGGGTTCAGCTGGAGCTCCAGCCGCAGTAGTCTCAGGAATGGCGGTGGCAGAAGTGGGGATCCCTGTCAGGAGACGACACAGTAAACAGCAGACGTTAACACCCAGCCTTGTTTCCTGATATCAACGCACAAAGCCATGTCAAGCACACTTACCAGACTCAGACTGACGTCCTGCACGGCAAACACCAGCGGCGCTAGTGTCAGCTACAGCAGTGGTCGGAGTCTCCAACCACTGCTGTACACACCCAGCGGCGCTAGTCTCACGTGGAGTCTCCGGCGTGTCGTCCGCACACACCCAGATGGGCGCTGGTAATGTGGAGTTCGGTGGAAGAGCGGGAGAAGAAGGCGCAGTAGGAAAGTTAGTCACCTCGGTTGGCGTAGCGGTAGCGAACGCGTCAGCCGCTGATGGCATGGGTGAGGCAGACGCCAGGTGGGATGCTGAGACGTTTGAAAGTATATTCTGCTTGGAGGAAGGCGACAGTGATATTAATAGGAACTCTAGCGCGCTTTTGGGAGCTGCGACGGGAAGCTTAGTTTGAGAGGGCTCGTCTGGAGCTGGCGCGTCACCATCGACACAGTTTCCCCCAACGACAGCCATGGCGAGAGCAGGCTGGGAGGAAAAGGCTGCTGGTGCTGGGTGAGCTGAGAACGCGATACATCAGCCTGAGAGGCTGCACGCTAGGGTGGGGCAAACGAAACTAGGTGACGTTTTCCCATGGGCTATTCAGCCCTCGTCATGATCGCCAGCTTCGATTGTGCCAGGCGGGTTGCTCGGTAGGGAGGGAAGAGCGTCGTGGGGGAGGACGAATTGTGTGGCAGCTACGGGCCGTTCGTGGGCACGATGCCAGGTTCAGTGCTGGCATCATAACGCGATGCCAGCGCTGTTGCTGTGAGATCATAAACTACCTCACCCATTGGCTGCAAATACATGATTTGGCTAAAAGCCAATGGGGCTGCGCGGCGGTTGCGCGAAATTTACAGCGCGACAGCATGTCACGCCTCATCCAGGTATTG